AGTCCTAGTAGTATAACACATTAAGGAAGGACTTGTATGTCCATGTTGCTTGCTATTAATTGAACAGTCTTGAAATCACAGAAAAATTCCCTGCCCTAGAGAAGTCTAAAAACAGCTCTCTAGCATTTGGTGTCACTTGTTTCCTAAAACTTTCTGGGTTTACTCTATAAACAAGAACTACTGGAGAAGAGGAGGAAAAACATTTGTTGCTAGTTACAAATTATGTTAGAAAATGGCATATTTATGTGCATCTTGGGGCTGTACACATGATTCTCACGAACAGAGACAGAAAATGTACCTTTACAGTGATCCTAACAGCTTTCACACAGTTACAATTAATAACTGTGAGTGAAAATGACAAGTGAATGGCATTGGTTATAGCTGAAGGATGAAGGAAAGCCAGTGCTGTGCTCTCAGAGTGGGAGTTAATATAGCAGCCCACTTGCAGTGGGGCAGAAGAAAAGTAACTTGTGGTCAGAAAGTAGGAACTGAATGTTATGATTTTAGAAATGGGTAATGGCAAAGCCCAGTCTGTGACCAAGATAATGATGGCATGTTCAACAAGCGGAGGGTGCACTGCCATCTATATTTGTCACAGAAAAGAAAATCATCTATATCCTCAACATTTAAGAGAAGGAGCTTCGTTAATGGGCCCTTCATCCTCTGGTTTCTGACTAATAAAAAAATGATGCATAATGAATTATAGCAATAGTTCAGCAGTTACTATGTGTCAGCATTGTTCTAGGTACTCTACATACATTTCAGTAGTCACTGTTGTGCCCATTTTACAGATGAGGAAGCTGAGACATAGAGTAAGCAACTTAATATGGGTTGTAAATGCCTGGTAGGATTATAGACAGATTTGAGGGTGAGAGGATTATTTCACAGGAAGTATCAGCAAAAGAGAGTAAACAGAGTTCAGAAGGAACACTTCTTAACTATGTACATTGTACTTCAAGGATGCCAGGCCCGGTAGTAGAGGAATCTGGTGAGAGATGAGTCTGAGTTAAGGCATTGGAGCCACATTGGAAAGAGTCCTAATGCCCGTGTTCAGATTTTGAACCTGATTTGGGAGGTGGGCAGAAAGTGTTATATTCAGACCTATATCTTAAGATCATTATTTTTTTTAAGTATGAACAAGTTATACAGAAGCTGGAGTGAGAAGATTAGGGTTCTTTTAGTCCTGGTTATCTGACAGGTAATGAGTATATCAGTGAGAACTGGCAGTTGAGGACAAGCAAAAAGACAGTTTGCTATGTGTTTTGGTAACTGGCTGGATAAAAGAAAAGATAGATTTAAATACAGTCAAAGATTTCATGTCTAAATAACTGGATTAATTATTGGTGGAAATCCAGGAGAGTTACTCTGTTGAGGTGACAAGGACAATGCAAGTAGCTGCACTTTAGAAACATGTAATTTGTTTTCTGCTCAGGCTGTTAGGTGGAGAACCACTGCAGGAAGGTTAAATGTATAAATCTGGCACTTAGAAAAGTCTGGGCTAGAAAGAAGCTTCTGGTGTCACCTACATAAAGGTGTTGGGTAAGTCAGGGAGTAGATAGAATCTCTGAAGGTGAGAAAAAAGAAGAAAACAGAAGACAGATCCTAGAAAGACTTAACTGAGAAGATAAGAGGGAGGAAGAGCAATAAGCAAAGGAGATGGAAGGAGAGGGGTGAAGGAAGGATAGGAACACCCAGAAGTAGGCAGCTGCATCACTGAGCACAAGGAAATGGAAGGTTCCAGAAAATGGTTAACTTGGCAAACCCTCAGAGAAGCCAAGAATAAAACCATTTGCATTTGTTGTTTAGAAGGTTGTCAGGATGGAGAATAACAATAGCAAGATAGGAGATGGACTCTTGCTGAGGAACTAATGGGTCACAGCAGACAAAGGTGGTGGGACATCCCACTAGTTTGAGGTTTTGATTACAAGGAGGAATGAGAATATAGCCCCATGTGGAAGCATGCTTCGTTTTAAGTTAAATTGGTACCACTAAATCTACTTTAGACAGAGATAAAGGAGACATAGAAGGGAGTGAGTTCAGATGCATGGGCAATACTTAGGAGTAGCACAAAAATACTTTCAGTGGCAGGAGATCACAGCAGATGAGGTCTTAAACTGTTTTTTGACTTCAGCATTAACAAATAAGAACTCATGGCACCACTGTTCCTAGCAACTCCCATGCAGCAGTTCTCTAGAAAATAAGTCAAGGACAAATGAACCAGTGTTTTCTCCTTTGCTGGGCAGTATGTGAACTTAATTCATGTATCCCAGGGCAGATGGGGAATTGCTCCTGTTATAAACTGTTTTTAAAGAATAAAATAACTTCCATGGGAAGAGAAGAGAGGAAGTTCTGATATTGGATTTGGATTTAAAATATTAGGATTTTTATAAGCACTATTTGAAGATTGTACCACATGTAAATATTGTGTGTGGCAGAAAGAAGGACATGTTTAGCCTGTTTTTCTAAAAGAAAAAAGAAGTTAAATGCACTTAAATTGCATGACATTACTTGAATGTTATTTCACTCACTCTATAGTAGGCAAAAGCTTTCTAGAAAAACAAATAGAAAGGGAAAAATATTGATAGTGGCTACTGAGTGATGGTTACTTTTGACTGCTATGGGCCTAGGTAGGACAACCACAGTTAAACATTCAGCAAATAATTTGCTTCCTGGTCTTGTCTTTTAGGAGGCAGGAGTGAGGACAGAGCACAGAACACAGGGTATTGGAAAGCATAAGACTGGCAACGATGTGAAAAGGGAACAGAGTTAAAGATAGAGTGTTCCCAAGGGAATGTGGTCACTCTTCCTCTTCTGCGGGGTGGACTGGGTACCATGTGTGTCTCTGAGTATTTAGAAATTGCTCCTGAGGTCCCATTGCTGTCACATTTCTGCACAGTCCTCAGACAAGGAGAAAACTGTTGGAAGTTGTTAGCACATCTCCCTCTGGAGTTGAAATTGGTCTCAACACCAACAAGCACACACCAGGGGATTTGTCTCTCCTCCACACTTGGATAATGGCTATTCCCAGGTGCCCAGGGAAGGATTGAGTTCAATGTGCGCCTCACACTATGCTACATACTGCATCCTCAACAGCTGGGCCATGAATACAATTTAAAAAGGAGAGAGAGCTGACTGTTCAGCTCTCTATACAAGGCATTCATAATAAATCTCTCAATGATGAGGCATAAAATTTCCTGTTGCTGTGCAGCCAAAGGAAGGAGAACATTAGGCAAGTATCCAGGGAGTCTCACTAACAGCGACAACCAATGTGGAGGATCCTGGGGGAATTGCTCCACATTTCTATCAGTAATGGCAGTTTTTACCTGAAATATGCTGGCAATTTTCTCTTGTGAAATTCAATTTCCAAAGGATTAATAAATATGCTTTTTCTTTGTACTTACTGAATCTCTTCCATGTACCTAATGCTACATAAAAGCATCATTTGTTACCTGGTTTTTTTTTCACTTTATTTCTGAGACAATAATAAAATAGTAAAAGTCAGCACAAAATGATTTATTTTCAAAAAATGGAAATAATATAACATAAAACAGAGTTTTGTAAAAGTCTGTTATGTATGAAGTACCTACTCTAAGTTCAGTGAAATGGAGAACTAGTGAGAGGCGGAGTCTGAATGAATTTTGGGTGTAATGGAGTGGTGGAGGTGAAGGACAAGGTTAGCAGCGTCAGAATGGGGACGTTTTCCTCCTAGAGTTGCACACAGAGTGCAGCCACCTCAGAGCAGATGACAGCAACGTAAATTATCCTGCCACATGAGTTAGTGAATAGCAATCATAATAATGATTGACACTGGATGGAAAGCAATGGCAAAATGAAAGATACTTGTTAAAGATAATTTTCACCAAAAAATAGAATCTACTGGTAATACCAGCTACTCAGGAGGCAGTGGCATGGGATCAAGAGTCTAAGGCCAGCCTGGGCAAAAGGCAGAGTGAGACCATGTTTCCAAAGCAAATTTAAAAAAACAAAATTTGCTGGGGGCATGCAGGGCTCAAGTGATAGAGTTCTTGCCCAGCAAGGCCCTGGGTTCAGTCTGCAGTACTGTAGAAAGAGAGAGAGAGGGAGGGAGGGACAGAAGGAGAGACGGAGAAAGAGAGAGGGAGGGAGAGAGAAAGACCATTGAAATATTTTCTAACATAGTTAGAAGTGTGGCCTATCATGGTCACTCATACTTCATAACAAGATAAACTCAGGATACCTACCTTCTTGTTCTTTAAACACAGGAACGGAATCATTTCGTGGCACTTTTGGCCCATCAAGATATGAGTTTACAAAGAAACCATCTCACTGATCTGTGTTGAACCCATCCAAATGTTCATATGATCTGTCAAGACGTCATTCCCACTAACTCAGATTTTTACAATGTATATGTATATATATTGCTTTTAATTTTTTTTTTTTTACACATTTTAAAAGCATAAAAGAGTGGCAAGTTTTTAAGTCTCTTTTTCCTGGAATTTAAGTACCTGCCCCGGCTTTATTGAGATAGATACAGTATTTTCATACCCATTGTTTCAATGGCATGAATAAAGTAGATAAGTCACAAATAACTACAAGGGGCAACGTAGGCAAATTCCACTTTGAATCTGTTATGATATTCTTCAGCAACCATCTTTGTTTTTCCAAATGTTCAAGTTTATTTCCTCAGAACAATGTTCCTAAAATGAAATCACTAGATCAACTGGCATGAATATTTTAAAGCTAGATTTCTAAATAGTTTTCCAAATGGGTATTTATTAATTTACCTTGCACTAGAATATGTGAGAATTATAGTACTACCTGTCTTAAAAAGCTTCTAATAAGACTATATTACTTTTATTTGTGTTTATTTCATTCCCAGCAGGCTTGAATATTTTTTCAAGTATTCATTTATAATGTTTTTGAATATTTGCTTTTTAGTTGTTATATTTGTTTTCTTAGCATTGGCTTAACTTCCCTAGTTTCAGTCTCATCTGCGTTCCTTTCTTTATTGCCTTGTACAGGATCCCATGATTCTTTCAGCTACTGGGTAGATGAAAAGTCCCCAGTGGGGCCTGATCAAACCCCAGCTATCAAACGCCTTGCCAGGATCTCCTTGGTGAAGAAGCTAATGAAGAAATGGTCTGTGACTCAGAACCTGACCTTCCGTGAGCAGCTGGAGGCTGGGATCCGCTACTTTGACCTGCGTGTGTCTTCTAAGCCAGGGGATGCTGACCAGGAGATCTACTTCATCCATGGGCTTTTTGGCATCAAGGTTTGGGATGGGCTGATGGAGATTGATGCGTTCCTCACACAGCACCCTCAAGAGATTGTCTTCCTGGATTTCAACCACTTCTATGCCATGGATGAAGCCCATCACAAATGCCTGATTCTCCAGATCCAGGAGGCCTTTGGAAACAAGTTATGCCCAACCTGCAGTGTGGAAAGTATGACGCTGAGAACCCTGTGGGAGAAGAAGTGCCAGGTAGGAGGGAAGGAGAGAGGAACTTCCAGGGGCAAGAACTTAACTCTCTGCCTTTCCTGTGTTGCCATCTGTACCATAGCTCAACACTGGGCTCAGAGGCTAAAAGAATGGATTGTTGGGACATTGAACACAAGTAGACTGGATCCTGAGCTCTAAGATAGTTTTAAGGACTTCCCTTGGCCCTACTGAAATGGGATTAACACTTTCCAAATATTTTAAGTTTGTCTGCAATCTGCTTGATATCTACATTGACTGTGAATAGAATGACCAGAACCAGCCCAAGGCAAAATTATGAAATGGGCCAGTTGGTCGTTACCACTCTTTCTCCTTTAAGGTCTGTTAAATCACACCTGCCATGTCCACTCAGATGATCCTTACCAAGGTATTGAGTGAAAAGGAAAAGCATTAGCTGACAAAGCCCTATGAAGTCACTCATCACAAAAGAGTTAATATTTTGAAAGGGACTCTTCACAGAATTTGGGTCACAGTGGAGACAGAGTTAAGAAAAAATCCACTGAAGTGGGTCCAGGATAGGATAACATTTCCCGGGTTGCTTAAGGATCCTCCAAACCTAAGCTCATGAAGTACATGCTCAGGAAAAGGAATATTGGCAGGTACAGCCCATTCTGATCCCAAGGGATAAAGGAAGCAGAGATAAGCTTCAGGAATGGGCAGTCTCCATTTCAGGCTCTCTTCAAGGGAAAAAAAGTACTTTTCATTCAAAGTTACTTACTTGCCCAATTACATTAAGTGACATGTCTTGAAGAGGAAGACTTTTTAATTCAGGGAGGAGTATTTCATTAAGTTAAAGATTATTCATTTGTGAATATTTATTGAACATCAGGTTAGGTACCAAGTACCATTCCATGTATTTGGGATAAATCAGTAAATAAAGCACAAAAATCCTTGCCCTAAGGGAGCTTTTTATTCAATGGGAGGAAGACAAATTACGGAAAAAAGATAATAAAAACATTAGCAACATAGGTGTTGCTAGACCGCGGTAAGAGCTATGAAAAGTCTAGCGTGAGGTAAGGGGAACCAAGGTTCTTTGAATTGGAGAATTGGTTGCAGTTTTACACTGGTTGAGCAAGGCAGCCTATATTGAAAAGGTGGCACTTGCAGAGATAAATCAGGTTAGTATTTTGGGGGCAGAGAAAGTGGCCAAGGCAGAGGCCCTAAAGCAGGAGTTTCCCTAACAACTTTGAGAAAAAACAGGAGTAATACATTGGTGAGCGGGTGAGAATAGAGTAGTAGAAAAAGTCTGAGAGAGGAGGAGCGGTTAGGTAAGGAAAGTTCTGAGCACAGCACATGGCTTGGCAGGTTTCAATGGGATTCCTCTGATTGCTGTGCCAGAAAACATCAGGGGCAGAAGAACGGGCAGAAGTAGGGAAACCAATAAGGAGACTTATTGGCAACCAGTAATATGACAGATTTATCAGAAGATTAAGCCGACAGGGATTCATAATGGATAGGATTCTGGGTGTGAAAGGAGCTGAGGATTCTAGAGTGGCTCCCAGGTTTGGCCTAAGTATTGAAATACCAGGTCGTTTTGTGCACCATATCAGTAAAAGTGATAAATGTCTTGCACTCCACAGACACTTGTTAAGTTAGTATTTGTTTAAATATACCTAAGCCATTTTTCCTCAGTAAAACTTTTTTAAGTGATATTTTGTCAAAAATTTATCACACTCTCCCCTCAAACCCAAGTTTGTTCAGACTCACAGGTCTAACGTGGAAAGACTTTATCCCAGTGGAGTTTCTCTCTTATATTATTAGATAATAGTATTCTTAATAATATTATTAGATAATATTAGTATTCTTTTAGTCACCATAATATCTAGCACATATTAAACCAATACAGTGTGCTATGTGCCTGGATCCTCTCAACAACACTATGCAATAGGTATTTTGTGATTGTCCCCATTTCACAGATGAGGAAACAAGGAACAGGCAGATGAAGCAACTTCCAACAGGAGCATCATGAGTGAGTGGCGAAAGGGAGAATTCAATCACAGGCTCTCTTCAGTTCCTACTGCTTTTTATGCTCTCTAAGAGCTAATGATTTTTTCACAACTGATAATTTTTACACGCCTTGACATGGGCTGGGAACTTAAGTGGTAGAGAGCCTGCCTAGCAATTCGAGGCCCTGAGTTCAAACCCCAGTACCAGCGGAGAGGGTGGGGAAGAAGCCACCCTCTTCTTGTAATTTTCACAACTGCTGTTATATGCTAATGAAAACATTTTGTCTTTATTAATAAGCGCCTATTGTCAGAGGGTCTCAGAGATTTACCAGATGGGAGGGATGGCTTTTGAATATGGGGATCCATGTAAGATTATTGAGTCCACATAAAATTTTATAATTTCGTACATAGCTAGTATTCTGGGTGGTTGACACTTTGCACACTAAACTAACAGAAATCCACAGGAATAAGAAGTAGCTTCAGGAATAATGAGTAGTGTGGACCATGAATTTCTAGCAGCACAGTGATGATCTATCAAGGCTTTTAAGTATGGGCTGATTTAACTGTGTCGTCCAACTATAAATACTCCTAAAGTCATGAAGGAAAGAGAGGGTGGTGATATGTTAGTAAAAGGGAGAGTGTCCCAGCTTACATCCTAAGGTCCCCTCTGCTCCTTCTTTCCCTGTGTTTTCCCTGTCATGTCTCTTCTTAAAAACTGAAACCAGAGTTCTAAAAGAGAGTTATCAGTCACCCTGCTGGGTTTGTGCCACACTGGTAGTCAAACTTTAAGTATTCATAATGGAATGAGCTGCCTTGCACATAAGCCCCTGAGTATTTTCTTACTGCAATTTAATACTGGAAAGTGCACTTCCATTTAGTCAAATTTCATTTACTCAACCTCCCATTACATCACAGCTTGCAGGTATATATTTGTACACTAGTAGATACAAGTTTTGAGGTACAAAGAATTAGATTTAATCTACATCTTGGAATTAGATTTAATGTACCTTAAGATTAGGATCTTATGAGAAGGCAAGAATCCTAACGCTAATGAACTACAAAACAATCAACATACAGTTGCAAGAACAGACTGTCTCAAATGTTCAGTACAATATGAAGAAAGGGGGTTTGTAATACATTAGTTGAAAAGTAGAACATAGCATAAATCTGCATCACAAAAGTTCCTTGAGGTCATTCAAGGAATAGTTCTTAAAAGAAATGAGATTTTTTAATCTGAGTCTCAAGAGATACACTGAACACAAACTACTGAACTGAAGAGGAAATATTTCAGAGAAGAATACAGCAGAAACAGGTGGGGAGGCAGATGCAAAACACAGGCTCTGGGCAAGAGTTACTGTGCCTGGATTCTTGTACCACGAGAGTTGGTTTGCTAGGCTGCCTCCTCTGTAAGCAGAGATTCCCCTGTAACCTTCAGTTACATTGCTCAAGAAGGTTTGTGAGGAAAGGCAGAAAGCCCCTTTTGTATTTTTTTAACTCTGTGCATCTTTTCTGAGGCAAAGGGTAGCACTGACCTCTGACACTCTGGCCCAAGGGCAGGTGTCATGGGACATGATCTGGCAGGCCTATCACAGGGATGCATAGCCACCTCGCTTGCATAGCCAAGCCCAATGCCCAGGGCAGCTCTCCTCACAGGACCCAGCTCTCCAATCTACTTAAGATGAGCCTGTGATTAACCTCATTAACACACGTGTTTACACAGACATCATTAGCAGTCAGCCAGCATCACTCAGAACCATTACGAACAAGAACAGCCTTCACCATGCTTGGTGCTCCCTGACTCTGGGCCTCCTTGGGGAGCAATTAGTCAGGCTCCTTCGTCACCAGCTGAAGGCGCACGGGAAACAAGATGCAGACACCTCGTTCCTGGATGCCTGGAGGATTGTGCTCTTGGCCAGCCGCCTGAGAACTGCAGTCCAGGCAGCATAAGCACGCACAGTCCGTTCCTCCGGGAAGAGCTCACTGGTGTCTGGGGGAGGGAGGATAGGGAAATATATATTACTTCTAGAAACCTGCTCAGCAGAGCTCTGAATTGGGACAATAAAAATAGCAATTCCCTATCCCTCAACTGCCTCCCAGAAACTAATTAATGCTGTGGATGTGGTTTGCTAATTATTTTCAAAATTAGTACCATCGTGAGCTGTCCCACTGGAGGCCCATGGCCTGTGCCAAGTCTTCCCTGGTCCACTCCTTCCTCCTCTCCTGGGGAGGATAATCCCATTCAGTACCAGCACACACAATTGAAAATCTATTTACTCACAAATTGGTTCAATGTGTTTATCTAAACTTCGAGAGCTAAGAGTTTCATGTGCCCAGGAAGCATAACTTCTAGACCTTATGAGCCAAGTCAACCTCATCTCAGCCTAGAACCTCTGAGTTTTCAGTTTGACATCCAAAGATTTCCAGGAGAGGTACAGATGGAATTTAACAAGACTGAACTTGAATGGTAAACAATTACATATTCATTTTTGTTCACCTTCAACTGAAAATTCATATATCCATTGATTATGAGTGCAGGCAGTGGCCCTGTACCACAGCAATGGGCCTCCCTGGTACTCTGCCCCTGTCAATGTGTCTGTCTCACTTTCAGTTAATGCAGGTGTCTTAAAATATCATTCATGCTCATCCCTAACTCATACTTATTTATGCATTTGTCATGAGGCATACACAATGATTTATTAAAAATTTGTTCATTATATGGATATGTACATTTTCACATCATTGATTTACTTTATAATCTTATCTGCCTTATTTTATGCATTTATGTGTTTTATTTCTATTTTTCTGGCAATATGGGGTTTGAATTCAGGACTTTGTGCTTGCTAGGCAGGTGTTTGAGCCATGCCTCCAGCCCTTTTTTGCTTTCATTATTTTGGAGATAGGGTCTTTGTCTAGGCCAGCCTCTATTTTAGGCTTCCCACTGTAGTTGGGATGACAGACATAGGCCACCATGTCCAGCTATTGGTTGAGATGAGGTCTCACAAACTTTTTGCCTAGGCTGGCCTCAAACTGTGATCTTCCCAATCTCAGCCTCCCAAGTGCTAGGATTATAGGTATGAGCCACCCATCCTGGCTCTATGCATTCATTTAAAATACAATTCAGAGAAGGTGGTCTGTGATTTTACCATACTTCTAAGGGTATTCATAACAAAAAGAACAGAATCAAACATAACAAGAGCTCAGTAAATCTTTGCATATGTATATATGCAGATATGTATATACACATATATGTGTACATAAAATAGTTCTTGAACTTCCACATATATTTTCTTGTCCTTCCTCTCAGCAATCAGTTTAAAACCAAGGAGTTAACATACAGCTTTTTTATCAACTGATCTCCTTTTTCTGTTCTGAACATTTCAGGTCCTTATTTTCTACCACTGTCCCTTCTACAAGCAATACCCTTTCCTGTGGCCAGGAAAGAAGATTCCAGCACCTTGGGCAAATACCACGAGTGTGCACAAACTAATCATTTTCTTGGAGACCACCCTAAGTGAGCGAGCACCACATGGCTCCTTCCATGTCTCCCAGGCAATTCTCACCCCCAGAGTGAAGACCATCGCCCGAGGCCTGGTTGGGGGCCTCAAGAACACTCTGGTTCATAGGTAAGAGTTTGCTTCCACCCTACAAGTACGGTTTTGTTGGTGGCATAGGGAAAGGCTTGGTGTTGTTTTGTTTTGTGATAGTCTTGCTATGAGCCCAGGCTGGCCTCCAACTTCTCCATCTTCCTGCCTCAGCCTCCTGAGTCTTGGAATTGTTGGCAGGCACCACCACATCTGGCCCCACAAACAAGGTTTTTATAAACCTTTTATCTTGATTCCCTTCTGAATACACAGCAATAAAACACTATAGCTTGAGGATTTAAAAAAATTTTAAATCTTGTATTTGAAAAAACTGTGGATTTGAGGGGAATGAACAGTGCCCAAATAATCCCTAAACACTTTATTAGAATGTTCACATTGTTCCATAAATGCTCTCTAAATTTTGTTACTAAGGCAAAACACTTTGAACCAATGCCACTGGCTGATCTCTTCTGATACATGGCTGCCCACACCCTTGCCACTGGCCCAGGTACTCACTCATTGAAGAAGTATGAAACACTGTGATGGTGCTAGGGATTCAGAGACACCCTTTTAAGAATTCATTCCTCCCCTTCCATGGTGACCATGAATCTTAAGTACCATGTCATAGCTTCAGATACTTCCTTCGGGCAGAATTAAGGCTGACTGTATTATTAGACAGGAAACACTCCAGTCATTTTGTATGAGATTGTTGATGTTCTTTATTTTTGACACCAAGGAAGGATAGATACTGTCAACAAAAGGATGGTTTATACATATACATATGTACATGTGTGTATGTCTATATATTTGTGTATAGATGTATACATATTCATATATGTATGTGTATATGTATATGTTGTAAATGTGTACAACAGGGCACCTTTTGCAATCCAAACTGAGGAACCTAATATGTTTAGGGTACAAAAGATATTTGCTTCCTGAATTCCAGGTGGTGATGACAGTTGAGATACTGAAAGATTTCATCAACACACATATCCCTGTTTATTTGGTTCTGAGTTTGGATAGCATGAGTTCAGATAACAGTAATTCATCTAATCAGGGTTCAGATAGCAAGAGGCACCTGCATTTTTCTTTCTTGACAAGAGCTTCCAATTATGTCAGCCATGACAGAACCAGAAACCCCTTTCTGTGTGACTCTCCTAAGTCACAACTGAATTATTTGTACTCAACTCGACAAAGAATTTCATAAACCAACATGATGCCTCCTTGAATAATCTAGAATTACAAACTCTCTTTTTGTAATATGTTTGTGCAGCCACACCATTTTCCTTATGACTTTGATAAATTTGTAAATTATTTATTTATTCATTCCATAAAATGAATACTTAGCAAGAAGTAGGTGCAAAGATATAAGATGAGTAACTGTAGTCTCTGCATCCTGGAACAGGATGTTCCAGGTTGGAACAGCCTTGTAGGATAAACTATAAACCAATGTGAAAATCATTCTAGTAAAAGTTCATGGAGAGAGCTGTACTAATAAGAGATTTGCACTAGTTAAGAATAAGGATAAGCTCCATCTGTATGCTGTTTTCTGAATATAAAGTACCTTTTTTTGATGATTTCATTTAATTTTTAAATCCAAACCACCTCATGGACACATTGTCTAAAGCACTTTATCATCACCACTTACGATGGAACTCAGTTGAAGCTAAGTGTGCCAGATTCACAGACTTAATAAGAAGCAATAATCTGTCTCAAACTCCAGATTTCTGAGCACTAACCCACTGCTCCTTCCAGTGCTCAGTTTAGTACCCTGTTTCTTTTTGTTACACAAAATGTGAATAGTAATATTTCCTATACTGTCTTGTTAGTACCTGAGTCTGGTCAGATCTTACTGGTTACAAATGTTAACCCACAATATCATCATGATTTTCATTTCATACTTGTAGATTCCTAGAACTTTAATCTGTCTGCAAGTGAATCTCAGGCTCTTAATTTAGTGGTAATGATGATTGATGTACCCAGAGCCAAAGTCTTCTAGTCTAGAAGAACCCTTGCCCAACTGGTAGCAGGCAGGTGTCCCTGAAATTGGAAGGTATTTGGCATCTTAATTCCTATGGTCACAAGTGTACTATGGGTGTGATCTTGCCTTCCAATACCTACATATCAATTGACAGAGGAAATGTAACTCTGGTCAAGAATGCATTTCTAAATGACAGCACTGCACATGGCTGAATACTCAAGTACTAAGTATCAGAACCTGGGGGTCTTTCCTGACTGACAAGCCACACAGGGGTGCTGTTCATCTGGTGTTGTGACTGATTATCAGTTCAAACCAAGGGAAAAGTGACCAGGTTTATTTTCCTTCAACGGAAGAGGTCATTTTCTCTGCAAGTTTACCCCCCAACTAGTAGGTGAACTTTGGACTTGAAATCTGTTCACCTTGATCTATCACCCTAGAAGAAAGTTACAAAAAATGTAGACTTTCTGACCTAATATATGTGGTAGTTTGCCCCAGATTCATAAATTCTGAAATTCAGATTCATAATTCTCTCACTGAAATCAAACAAAAGTGAGTTTTGCCTAAGTCTGAGGACAGAGCAACCTTAGAACTCCAGAAGAGGACATGGACTGAAATTAAAACCTGGCATGGTCCCTGTTATAGTCACTGAATTATGTCCCTGCTCCCAAAATTTATATATTAAAGCCCTAATCACACTACCTAAGAATGTGAACATTTTTGGAGAAAGAGCCTTTTAAAGAGGTAATGAAGTTGAAAGAAAGCCATTAGGGTGGGCCCTGATGCATTCTACCTTGTGTCCTTAAATGAAATGGACACCAAAGAGACAACAGGGATGCAGGCACACAGACAAGATGGCCCATGAGAAGACAAAAAGAAGGTAATCAGCTGCAAGCTAAGGAAAGAGGTCTTAAGATAAACCAAACCTATTGGCACCTTGACTTTGGACTTTCAGTCCCTGCAACAGGAGAAAATAAACTTCTGTTGTTGAAGTCAATCCGTGTGTATTTTGTTTTCACAGCCCTAGCAAACTAATGTCATCTCCTGGCAACACGGTAACCTCAGACAATTTCTCTGAGGTCTCTGAGCCATGGGCTTTTTTTTTCACCAGCTAAATAGAGTTAATAAGACCTCACAAGATTATAATCTTACAATGAAAATGCCTACCACTGTGCCTGACACAAAATTGGCATTCCGTGCCTGTTTGTAAAGAAACACTTTAGATACACAGTGGACTGTCACTGTTCTCCAGTGGGCCTCAAGGTTAAGGGGAAGTTTTTAGCCTGCTTCTCTTCAGCCTGTGGATGACAGCAATATCTGGCTTAGCCTTTTGCATGAATATCTCATCCTGGTAAATGCCAGGAGTTAAGAAAATAGAATGGCTCCTCTTGACAGTTGTTTCTACATTTTCTTTCTCTTTACGTAATCCCAGTTATTTGACCCTTACCTTGAGGAAGGTTGACACATGCAACCCAAAGCTGACACAGGGCCCTTTGTGACTGGAGACCACAGGGACATACCTTCCCCATATTCTTCTGCTCAGGCTCTTGGAATCCTTCAAGGTTTGGCTCTGGCTGTAGTTGGCTGGGGTTACCTCCAAGCCTTCAAGTCTCATTTCCTCATGATAACCAGCAGGTGGCGCCTAAATTCTATACTTAAACACTGACTAGGGATTTTGAAAAGAAATTGAAATCACTGTGTCCTTCGCATGGGCTCCTGTTTATTCATGGGTGGTCTCCATTTTCAAGGGAGATCTATATTTCCAGCCCTTCATTCTCAAGCCACAACATTTTGTTACCTAAGCAGATAGATGTGACTATTTTAAGGAAGTTTCTTACCTCGTCCTGAAATATCTCTGCCATACACTCCTTTCTTTATTATTCCTTTTCTTCTAACCAAATATTTAACGTTGTACTTACTATATTCTGGATACTACTCTAAACACTTTGTATGTACTATGTTATTTAATCCCCCTAAAAATCTCTCTAACATTTCATTATTGTCCCTATTTTACAGGGGGAGAGGCTGAGGGACAGTGAAATTCTGTAAGTTAAGATGATACTGAGATTATTAAGTCTTCAAGAATCTCAGCTAAAAATGGAACTATTATTTGGAGGGTGGCCTATTAAGTCAGAATCAGCTTTTTAAATAAAAATATAAATTGATTTATGACATGTGTTTTAGCCTTATTCTGTCACTAAGTGAGAGAAGAGACCCAGGACTGATTATAGTTGTCATGATAAGGAAGGAAAAATGCTACCAGGACCTTGACAGGTTTTTTTGTTGTTGTGGTGGTACCGGGGCTTGAACTCAGGGCCTAAACCTTGAGCCATTCCACCAGCCCTTTTTGTGTGAGGTATTTTTGAGATAGGGTCGCAGGAACTGTTTGCCTGGGCTGTCTTCAAACTGTGGTCCTCCTGATCTCTGCCTCCTGAGTAGCTAGGATTATAGGTGTGAGCCACTGACACCTGGCAATAGTATTCTTTTTGGAAGCCTAAGGCATCAGAATGTATTCTGAAAAAAAGGTAGGATAGCTTTAAAGGAAAAAAGGAAGGAAAAAATAATAACCAAAAGGAGTGTGACCAAATGAAGAGGAAGGGAACAATTAAGACGATATTTCATTTATTTTTAATTTTGGCCTAGAATAAATCCTTCCTTTAAAAAAAAAAAATGTCAGTCCTTTACCCAAACATAAGCACCAGTTTCAATCTTTCTTGAATCATTGTCAACTATTGGCTACTTAGTGAACTGTTTTTGCCATGATGCAAAACTATGAGTATACTTAATTGCTCTCTCCTCTATTCTGTCAATGGTATTTCATATTTACTACTAACCTTGAGATCATCACATTGAATTGAAATGACTAGTTTATGCAACTAAACTCAGAGCTCTTTTGGACAAAAATTTCTGGCTGCTTCCTAGAAAGCCTTCAATTATATATGACAGACTGTATTCATGAGACAAATGGTTAAATCTTAGTCTGTTAAGAAGTCATGCATAGAAATAGATTAACTGTCTATCTCTATGGAAAAAGTGAACCATGATTCCTATTTTATATCACATACAAAATTTAACATGGGATAGATTTTAGATATAAACAGAAAAGTTAAACTCCTAAAGCTTTTAGGAAAAAAATATAGGAGAATATCTTTGTGAATTGAGAGTAAGAAAAAGTTTCTTAAACAGATCACAAAATTATTTAAAAATTGATAAATTGTACTCCATCAAAATTAAGGAATTCAGCCCATCAAAATATGTCATTGAGAAAATTAAAGACAAGTTACAGGATGGGAGAAAATATTCATAAAATATATCTGACAAAAGACTAGTATCTAGTACATACAAGTAACTTCTACAACTCATCATCAAAAAAAAAATTTTTAAATTGCTAAGTGTTGAACAAACACTTCCAAGCAAATATACAAATGGCCAGTAAGCATATGACAAATGCTCAACACCATAATTCATCAAAAAATGCAAATTAAAGCACTGTGAGTTATTGATATTACTTCACATACACTGGAATGACTAACCTTGAAAAAACCAAAAGTATCAAATTTTAGGGAGTGCGTGAAACAGCCACAACTCTTACGCTTTGTTGGTAGGAGCATGCAATGGAATGATCCCACTGAGAAAAAGTCTGGTCTTACAAAACAAAACATAAACCACCCATATATTACAGCAATTTTACTCCTTGGTTTTTAGCCAAGAAAAATGAAAACAAATGTCTATAAAAAGACCTGTAGAAGAATTTCCATAATAGTTTTATTCATAATAACCAAAAATTGGAAACAGACCTTGTATCTGCCAATAGAAAAATGAGTAAATAAACTGTTAGAGTTGTACAATGGAACACTACACAGTATTTAAAAAGAAAAAAATACAGATACATGCTAGATGAAAGAAAACTGCATAGAAGAATACATACTGGCCAGGCGCTGTGGGCTATCACCTGTTCAAAGCCAGCCTGGGCAAAAGGCTGGTGGAGTGGCTCAAGGCGTAGACCCTAAATTCAAACCCCAGTTCCCAAAAAAAAAAAAAGCAAAAAAAACATACCGAGTGGTTAATATGGCAAATCTGTGCTAGAAAAGAAGTCAGTCTAGTTGTTACCTCTGGGAAGATGGAGCAGGAACTGAGTAGGAATGGACATACCGGAACTTTCTGGAGTGCTGCTAATGTGTTCTAACTTATATGAGTTTGGATTATTTCACAAATTTGTCAAAACTCAGCAAGTGTACACTTACAATGTGTGCATTTCATTGAGTGTAATGTTTATTCCAAGAGAAAAATGAACTGGAAACAAATATTAAATGCTAGCTAGTGTAGATGCTGACACATTTAGGGGCTGTGTATAGGTACTTGCAATTGGAATACATCAAAAATATAAGATGGATTGATGGGAGGATAGTGATGGGTTAATGGATAAATATGTAACAAACCAACTTAATAAAATATTATCACTAATATATTGGGTATATTTGCTGTAAAATTCATGCGGTATTGCCATATGTTTGAAATTTTTCATGATAAGAAAATCTAAAAACCCACTAATAATGAGAATCTTGAGCTTAGTGTTTTCAGCATCTTTTTGACATAATTATCTCTCTGGTGCTTGGGGCAAATGCTTTCCTCTTCCATCAAAGTAACCCTGGCAAGTTTAGTTCTATGGTAGAATAGGCTACTTCATCCTTGATGAAGATACAAAGCTTAAATGGACATATCCGAAGGGCCTTGTAATTTATTGACATAATTTTGTTATATTAATGCTGGGCTCTTCTCTTCCTCCAAACCCTTCCTCTTTGTAGGAATCTTCCTGCCATCCTGGATTGGGTGAAGACTCAGAAACCTGGAGCCATGGGTGTCAACATCATCACGTCTGACTTTGTGGACCTGGTGGACTTTGCCACAACCGTGATAGAGTTGAATGACCTTCTACAGGATGACAAAGCTTTTACTAAATGCTGATTTAATTTTTTGTTTTAACTTAATCTTGCGACTGATGGTCCAGGGTAGAGTTCCAAAGGGTTTCCTTTTAGGATGGCCCCTTGGCAGTGATGGTGAAGTGTATAAGAGGAGGGCAGCATTTTTTTTCCTTCCTCAAATGGCCATTTGGATAAAATTACAGGGTTTTTCATTGCATTTTTCCCTAATGTGACTTTTTAAAAACTTAAGTCCAAGGGAAGAAAGCATGTTTTGTGTGATCAAGGATCCTCAAAGGCTGATGATGGTGAATGGAATATGGAAATAAGGTCTCCACGTTCCATTGGGGTATGGAGTACCCCATAATTGGCCCAGTTCCCTATGGTCTTCTAGGATTTTGTGTTTGAGCCAGCAAGAAGACTTTGAACCAAAAGGACATTTCTGGCCAAACAGTGGTTCATTACAGGTGTGGACTGTTCTGTGAGGTGGCTCTAACATCAGCCTGGAGCTCTGAGGTAGAAAAGAGGCCAAGTGCCAATTCTCTCTAGGATTGTTGAACATCACCAGTTCTTCCCTGAGAGAATAAGAGTATTTATCACCAGGGTGGTTCAGTCACCAACTATTTATGCTGGTATCTACTCACTTTATTTCCTCAGTTAAACAGTGCATACTGCCCTTGGTATCAGAAATATGCTTCCCAGTTTTAAGGCATTAATTCCTTTCTGTTTCTGTGGGTCCCTTCTTAAAAGTGAAATGAACAATGATGGGAGATCTTTCCAGTGTGGGGCTCAATGAGAAATAGACATGCATGTTTGTTGCATGCCAGATTTCTTTGATTTAATTCTGTAGCCTTTCCCAAAATGACTGGCAGATAAGCACCTGCATCATTTTGGCAAAGTCCTCTTTGGAGTGAGGTCTTCAAACCAGATGTTGGAATTGCATTTCATTGTTGTCTGTCTAGAAGTCAGTCTGCACTGTGGGACACAATGCTAAGTAGAAGGCAACTTGTCCATGATAGCGTAGAGGTTGACACAGGATGCATGGGAAAGTGCAATGGCATTAAAGGAGGAAGCTCCAAGTGGATTTGGAGCCATTCTGTAACTCCTTGAATACAAGACTACCTCGGGGACATTTAGGATGACTTGTGTGTCATCAAGCAAGAAATATACAGTGTTGGAACGTTTTTAGTTCTTATCTTAATTCCTCTACTTTCTGCAGGTTGTTCTGAGCCTATAATCAACACTGCATGAGGGCTTTGAAACTCAAGAGGGGATTTTATTTTTATTGATAAGAGGTGCTTATTTATAAAGAGCCCTCTTATGTTTTGGTTACTTTATTTACTTATTCATTTATTTATTTATAATGTATCTGCAGTGCTTCTTAAGCAGGAGTACTCACACAGGAGTTTACTGGACTTTTCTCCAGGACAGATGCTGCTACGGTCTTCACCCTCCACAGGACCATGCATCTCAGGACTGTGAGCGACCTTGGACTCTGCTGCAGATGTCCTGGCTCCCCCAATCCTGCTGAGGACATTATATATTTGTGGATGCGGTCCAGATCCAAGAAGCCACTACTAAGCCACACACTGGGACATAAAATGAAATAAGTCATGAAGAGCTCTCAGTTCTTGACATAACCCCGCCAGTAGAGTATTGGGAAGAAAGGAGATAGAAATAAAACTGGGCACAGAGATATGTACACTTCAGTGCCCCCTAGATCTTTCTGAGAATCCCTAAGGAGGTATCAACTTCCTATTCTTATGGAGGAAAATAAACATGAAATCCTGGATAGAAGTGTGCATTTATAAATTGCTGGACCCTTCTCCCAGTAGTTTCCCACTTCTGTCCCTTGATTTCATAGCCAGATTTTGCATGTTACCTGTACTGGGGGAATCTTAGGTGAGCGACCAAAAGCACATGCATGCCCCAACTATTGGTTTCCAGCCTTTACTTTCTGTGCAGTAATTTAAGCCTTGACATTTTGCTTCCACAGCTGGAGGAGCTCACAACACAAATGCCTCTTGGAAAATCTGATTTAACTTTTCTCTGTTCTGTCATTTGAATTCTTCCCCAAAGAGGTTTCTGGAATAGTATTGTCAAATTTGGTAGGGCCTTCTCTGGAAAGGAGTAAGAAAGTGAGTTTTCTCACTTTCTTAATTTTCCTTCAATTCTGATATTAATCTCTACCATCCCTAACCTGTCTCCAGGGTTTTATTTTTATTCTTATTCCATTTTGACTTTGTTTTTAATTCTTGGTCAATTATTGAAGACTAGATCATTTTCCCTCTTTTAACCCTTAGTTACTTGGCAAAGAGATAGGAGGCAAGAGGAGAATTATTCTGCTCTGTTTTATTTGAGCCTCAGCTTTGTCCAGGTGCTTGGTGCTATGAGGTATGTCAACAAGTATCTTCCCAGGAGTCCAGTGATGCCCAGTGGCTGCTGACTGTTCAGTGAACTGTTTACTTGATTTTCTTCCTTAGTTTTTAAATATGTAGCTGCACTTCGCTTGGATTATTACTTATCAGTAGGTACACCTCAGTGTTTGCATGCTAAGAAAAACATCATCAAATATGACACAGAGACACAGAACCCTTTAAAGCTGTGTTGTTGGGCCCTGCACAGCATAGTGAGTGCAGGCACTCACTCCGTGCTGTGTTGGGTCACCAGCCTTGCTTGCGTTTTGAAAGTTTGCACAGGTGTGGTGGGAGGTAGGAAGAGTACTATTTACAATTTTCTCCTAAAAACACTCACATCTCTGCCCCAAGAAAAAGGCTTCCCATATTGTATAGGATGTATGCACTCTGCTCCTTGTCTGTGAGACAGATGGAAGAACTCAGGTAGGTGGGACAGAGAGAAAATAAACTTTAGATTCTGCAAAAGCCAAGAATAAGAATAGTGACCCAAACACCTCACTTGTTCTCACAAGTTCTGGGGCTTTTGAGATCAAAACAAAACTCTCATAATTACTCAGAATTAACTTCAAGAGAGGCTGGAGATGTAGCTTAGTGGTAGAGCACTTGCCTAACATGCACAAGATCCTGGATTCAGTCCTCAGCACCACACACACCCACAAAATAACTGCAAGAGCAGCTAAAAAGCTACTTGATTGAGCCAATGAGGACATAGGTTCACATATTTATTCTGAAATATAACTGAGTTTTCCATAGCTCCCTGGACCGTTCCAACATGGCCAAATTTCCATGATTATGTGGCAAAGGGACCATTACAGGTTTCAGTTAGGTAAAACAGTGTTTAAAGACTTAAATTTGAGCTTATGTGTGCTATGTGGTGTCATGGAGAGAGAAGATATTCTTAGGATTGCAGAAAGGTCAAAATTGGCTTGATAAAAAGAAATAATAAGTTAATTTTATATTATGGCAGATTAAAGAGGATCATGTAAAAAAATTAGATTCATTGCATTCAACTCGATGGTAATTGTTTAGTTATTTCCTTTAGTGCTGAGTTCGGACCCCTGAATTTTTTAGAACAGTTAAGCTACAGTTTGAAGCCAGGATTTTATGTAAATGCTAAGAAAAGCACAAGATCTGAACAGAGGTAATGATAGATCTTAAGGATCTTGGTTCTTTCATGACCTCATAGTAACATCAAAAAATTTGTGTGTCTATCCAAAAACAGAAAGTTGTGGAGCTTTCTGAAATTAAATATCATTTTCTGGTGTCATAGTATTCCAGTGTTCTGACTCTTACCAAAATTCTCCCAAAGACACATGACTATTATCAGCTGGAAGGCTTAGCACAAATCTATGGGTGGAGATACAGAAGAAATTCATTCTGAAATGAACTACTTTTTTTCCTAAGAAGCAAAAGAGCTAAAAAATCAAACCATTATAGATTGAGCTCATGCCACAGTTGAGGTTTTGGAAGTTTTTTGGCTGTTAGATTTTGGGAAACAAAATTGGCTGATAAAGGGGGCACAACCATGAGATTCCCCTCCCTTAGCTGAGAAAGTGAACCTGTGCTAAATCCTTCTAGGTTCTTTCACTGTAGTAGATACTGTCTGCTATTTCAATGTTGAGTGTTTTAAAAACTATGGTTCAGGAGTTCCACAAAATATAAGATCCCTAATGTTTAGAGTAAATGCCTTATACTCAGGGGATGTACAGATGTGGTAATTCTTTCTTCTGTACATGTGTGTACAGAATGCTATCTGGGCTTTTGCCCAAAGTTTAGTATGGGGTGATGAACCTGACCAAGAATGATAATTTCCATGGTCTGTATAATGAAAAGTATAGGGCTCAAAGAAGTTTTCCAACATGTATGTGGTCTACTGAGAGGTGGGTTTTCCTAATACATGTAAAATAGCCTTGTTATACCAAGAGGAAATGAATAAAATTGATAGCATCAGACATCTGAATTTTTTTTGGTATGATACAGAAGAACATGGTTGTTCCTCTGAATTCCACTAACTTGCCACTACATCTTGGCCCTCTGCCTCAGGATGGTCCCTGGTATTTTCTACCATAGCTTTGTCACTTATAAGTGTTGCATTGGGACACACAGGAGTGAACCAATTGAATGACAAGTGGTTTAGCTGGAAATTTCACCCTTAATTCCACATGATTCTGAACAGCTCTTTACTGCCCCAAAAGATCCACTATCTCCTTAGCCTTCAGATTCCTCAGTTCCTTGCTTAGAACAGTGACACTAATGGCACTGTATTTCTGAACTAGCCCTAACTCAGAAATATGGACCACAAAAATGCTATCAATTTTCTTAAAATAGTACAGTCTTAAACACTGTAAAAGTGTTTTAGGATAACGCTATCTTGCTGTAGATAAAATGTTTTAACATCTTCTCCAACAAATTTGTCCTTCAGGCTTTTCAAACTCATTTTTAAGCTAAATAATTTAGATAAACTATTTCCCTCCTCTTTTCTAGGAGTTCAGTCCCACAGTCCATTGAAGCAATCCCATCAATAGTCTAAAAACATTTTCTATGTCATTCCTTCCCATCCTTTCATAGAATACCACTTTGTCCTCTCATCTCCTGGCCATCCTTCGTCGTCTGCTGATTGCTGTTAATC